GCTGGGGCACTAACTCCCCATCACCAGCCCACATGAGGATTTCTTGCCACATCCCTCTGATGCCCTCGATGCGTGTGTGTGTTCTGCATTTCAAATCACCGGTTGTCAAAAAAAAAAAAAAAAGGTCAGCAACCAAACAGGTGTAACTTAATCCTAATAGTTCCACACACAAAATCCACAGAAGCAAGTGTGAAATGAGAGTCCTGAAATCTTCCGTACGAAAGCATGAAATTCTAGTTGTCTTAGCCACTCTTGCTCAATTTTAAGGAGCAGCTTTATGGTCTCAGATGATTCTGAGTAACCGCAAATGACCGATCACGATTCAGGCGGAAAAGGCGGGAAGGTAGAGCTAAAACTTGTATTAAAAGGACCCTAATTCAGTTACTACTTAAGCCTATGACAAAAAGTTAGAAGTCCTGAGATACAAGTTTACCTAATGAAACTTAAAGGTATTCTAAGTTTAAAAAAAAAAACAAAACACAAACTAAGATCTTACTTGGCAAAGTCTATCTATTCAAAATCGATTTACTTTATGATATTCACTTACAATTCTAAGAACGTGGGTCAGCTCAAATACAATGGGCAGTTCTTTAAATCTGCTTTTAAAAAAAGTATGCAGCGATCACATTTCAGGTTCTAGAGAGACCCTGACCATCATCTAGTCCCAATGGCCCATCCAGGGGCTCAATGTTTGTCACTCAGGTAGAGCAGTAACCTACCGCTAGAAAGAGCAGTCCAATCTGATCAGTCTGGACGAAAGGGGTGGTGCTGGAGTGGGGGGCAAACCAGACCAGAGAGGGTGGCAGAGCCTGTCACCAGTGGACTCAAATCCTACACCTCAACAGGAGACTGGGACTGTGAAGAGGGGGCAAGAGGACTTTCTGGGGAAAGGGGCCTCCTTGATTCCCCCACATCACACTTTACCTCACAAAGACAATGGACCCATTTCCGAAATGGAAGCGGGTACCCCATGCATGCCACGTTTTCAACATGGTTTTACTTCCTTTTGAATGTCATGTTGGCATTTTACAGGTGGTCTGCTTTTGTTTTAAGAGTTAAGATTTTCTTTTCCTCAGCTTTAGGAAAAAAAAAAAATCAAATAGCATTTCCCCTCCCCCCCGCCATGGTTCATCAAGCTGGGGGGTCTTTTACCTGGGGTGACCAGTCTCCATATACATCCTATGTCCTGACCTCCCACATTTGACACAGCATTTGTTGCAGACAAAAGTGTCCCTGTTTAGTTGACAGATTATATGGTCGCCCTTCTTTAACCCGAAGCTGTGGCCCAAAAGAAAAGCTTTCTCTGCTAGTGCCATTTCCACACAGACCAAACACTCAGACATTCAAAGAGAGCAAGAGCTCAATTACCAAATCTTCTTTAAACAAAGGCTCTTTTAACAAAGTTAGGCTTCGCTGGAAGGAAGCTGGAAAATGATCTTGTATTCTTGGTGCAGGATTGGGACAAAGAATGCGGAAAAGAAGGGCATTTCAGGTACAGGCCTCTCAAGGGTGGATCAGCTGCCCTGGTGGAGAGGCAGGCCCGAGACCAGGGTCCCACAAAACCCAGTCCTCTGAAGTGGACCCTTAGACAGCCTCTCACTTGGGAGAGATGGAGTGCTCATGACACCGCCGACCAACACATCCTGCCCCTCTCCCCCCAGCCCACTGTGCCCCAACCACCAGCCCACCCCACCTCAGGCCAGGCAGCCTCCCTTGGAGACAAAGCAGAGAGAGCCCCAGGGAGGTAAATCCTGTATTGAGGCGCCTGGGTGGCTCAGTCAGTTAAGCACCCAACTCTTGATTTCAGCTCAGGTCATGATCTCAGAGTCATGAGATCGAGCCCCGCATCAGGCTCCGGGCTCAGCGCAGAGTCTGCTTGGGATTCTCTCTCTCCCTCTTCCTCTGCCTGTCCTCCTCTCTCTCCTTCCCTCCTTCCCTCTCTTAAAAACAAACTGTTCTAAAAAAGGAATAAATCCTGTCTTTTCAAAACACCCAGACCTATATGGTTTCTACCACTTAGGAGTTTCTGATGCTGCTGCTTGCCAACGTTAGCCTTCTTCCTCCATCCATTATCCTTTCCACAACAGGGGTTCCCGTTCCTATCCAGCTCCCTCCCTGGGAAGGGAGAATGGGAAACACAGATGGAGGGGGTTCAGTGACAGGCTGTAGGTGACAGGGAAGCTTACTGGGGTTCAGAAGGACACTGATAGTAAGGGTCTCACCCCAGCGGAGAGCAGGGGACACACACCACAAATCCACACTCATGACTTCTGCCTCCAAACACAGGAGAACTGCCAGGTGAGCAGAGTGACCAGGGGGCTCTCCCCAGACTCCTGCACACCGGTTACGAGGCAACAGTGATCCCTGTTCTATACGAGCTACTGGGACACAGAGAGCTAGAGAGGATTTGCTCAAGGTAATGTGGAGGAGAATGCAGGTCATGGGCAAATTAAGAAGAAGGTGATAAACGGGGCCATTCTACAGTGAAATGCCAACATGGCGTGACCTGCACGCTGCCACCTAATCCTTCCGTTTTAGCTCACTCATTGGCAAATGGGTCCTAAAAGAACTATGGCACTTCAAAGGAAGTGGACACCTGAGCGAGGCATGGAGAGCAGAGGAGGAAGGCAGGAAGGGAGGACAGTGTGTTTTGTATTGATTAAACTAAGAAAATGAAGGACAGGGGCACCTGGGTGGCTCAGTCAGTTAAGCGTCTGCCTTCAGCTCAGGTCATGATCTCGGGGTCGGGGTCCTGGGATCGAGCCCCACATCGGGCTCCCTGCTCAGCGGGGAGTCTGCTTCTCCTTCCCCCACTGCAGCTTCCCCCGCTCGTGCTCTCTCTCACACTCACTCTCTCTCTCAAATAAAATGAAGGACAGAAGTAGGATCCAGACTTTCTGCTCATCTTCCAGCACTTGGTCCATTACGTCATACACTATCTTTCCAACGAACATCTTGAGGTATTATCTGTAACTCCTTTTACCCTGCTGCTAAGAAATCATGCTGCCTCTTTTCATGTAAAAGGTAAAAATTCAAGGCTCAGATTTGTCTGCCTCTTCTAAGATTTGAAGCCTAATCCCACTACCAATTTTAACCTCAGATCTTAACAGGCTGAGAAATACAATATGAATCCATTTCATTGTTTTATGAATGGCTTTGGTAAAACAAAGCAAAAACAATCAAAATAAAAACCGCTGAAAATTTTCCAAATCCAACCTCTTCCTTCAAAACTATAAAATTCATGGAAAAGAGTGAGAGCAATAGGCATTTTGGACATAAGAGCACAATTTACTGGTCAGCATGCAAATGTTTCAATTAAAAAACAATCTGCCCAGTCTGGCTCACGGTGCTCTGTATAAGCAACAGAAGAGAGAGGTCTCAATCCCCTGTAAATTCTAATCTAGTAGGAGACAGACAAGTGAAATATTAGAGCATTCATAGGGGCACAAGAAAGGAGAAGGAACCTGGATGTGCTTCCCTCCCACACCACCAGCAACTCCCAGCAACTCTTACGGCCCTTTGTTCTTTGGAGGCGCATGCGTGCAGTTCCCAGGACGGCTCAGACAGCTAACCCTCAGTTAGTCAGCTGAGGCACACATAAGAATGGAGAATTTTTTTTTTTAAGATTCATTTGTTTGGGGGGGGGGGAGGCGGTGCAGAAGGGAGAGGGAGAGAGAGTAGCAAGCAGACTCCACGCTGAGCACAGAGCCCAACGCAGAGCTCCATCTCAGGACCCTGAGATCACCATCTGAGCCAAAATCAAGAGTCAAGACACTTAACCCCCTATATCACCCAGGCGCCCCAAGTATGGGGAACTTTTAACAAGATCTCACGGATTTTTCTTGCATCAACTTTATTTATGTATTTTTCATAATTTCTCCAGGTGCTATTGTAGTAACTTACTGGGACAGGAAAAGCTAAAAATGTCCATGAAGATATAGGACAGAAAATCAAGAGGTGTGCCTACCCAGGGCAGAAAAGGGCTTCTGCTGGGTGAGCATGAAGGTGAGGTTAGCTGGACAGAGCGAGGCCCCATTACAGAGCGTCCAACATCACCCTGAGGCCCTGAAGCCAGAGGGTGACTGCGGGCAACAGCAGGGGGCCGACGGGATGAAATGAATGTTCTAATAGAGCACTCCAGCAACACCTCACTGTCCCCAGCAGCCACCGCAACCCTACAGAGCACCAAGCATGAACAGAGCGGGGCGCCGGGGGCCTGTTCCAGCACCACTGACATGCGTGCCCTGGGAAAGCAGTAACCTTCCTGGATAAAGTTCTGTCAACGATAGGACAGGCAAGTTGGACTGGGACACCTCTAATGTCTCCATGTCTAAAGTTCAAAACGGTCTTTGTTCTCCAAAATCTGGTCCAAATCCCAGTTCTCAGTGGCTCTAACCTCCTTGTGCTACTGGTCCAATAACTTATTGTGACACCCAGCAGAGCCAACAGGAATAAAAGGGCTGATTTCAAGATGTAGGAGTATCAGGCACAATACTTAAAATAAAAAAAGCTAATAAGGACGCAGAAAGACCAGGCTGCTGGTGTTTCCAGAAAAGGCACAGAAATCACCAAATTCACTCACATCACCAAATCTCTCAATTCAGATTATACATACCAGAGAATACCCAGTTCTGCTAGGAACAAAATAAGTGCTTTCGTGTCTATCCCTAAATTAGGGATTTTTTTTAAAAAAGGAATGTATTAAAATAAACACACATTCCCAAACTGTATTTTTCTACAGAGAAAAAAAAAAAACAACACATCGGAATCCAGTCTCCTCATCAAATCAAGCCAGATGGAAGGCAAGACCCCTGCACAAAACGAGGTCCCTGACCCGACGGCCTCAGCACCACCTCCTCCACTGCTCCATCAGCAACTCAGGAGGGGGGGCCCAGTAATCTTGTCTTAAGGAGGCCTCCAGGTGACACTGACCCATGCCTCAGTTTGGAAAGTGCTTGCCTAACTCGTCAGAAGCCTCCAAAAAACCAAAACAAACATACCTGGCTCCAAAGATGTCCTTTTTGGCGAGATCAATTCCAGACACCACCTTCACTCTGAGAATACGTGACTCTCCCTGTTGAAGGAGAAAGAAAAAAAAAGTTTAAGAAATGGACCTTCAACGGGTCACTGTCTTACCCAATATGCAAAGGTTAACGATTTCTGTTTAGACCAGTACTGGGGACACAGAACCAATCAACTTAGCATAGGCGATTCTTCCTCACACTGAAGTTCAAAAGGCAACATTCCAGCTCAAAATCTTACGGCCCTAGAAATTCAGAACATCTTGGGGCACCTGGGTGGCTCGGTTGAGTGTCCAACTCTTGATTTCAGCTCAGGTCATGATCTCAGGGTCCTGGGATCAAGCCCCGAGTCCAGCTCCACACTCAGCAGGGAAGTCTGTTGGTCACTCTGCCCTCCCCTCCTCCATGCTCTCTCCCTCGCTCTCTCAAATAAATAAATAAAATCTTTTAAATAAAAATTTAGAGCATCCAGGTTACTTAAGAAGAAGTTTAATTCAAACTACATCAAGCAGATCGATTTGGACCAGTGAAAGATTTCCCAGTTATATACCAAGAACACAAGTATACATTTGAAACCACATAGATCTTTAACTTTAATAAAGAACTTATTTAATAAATAATTCCTTGATTTTTCACTTTAATAAATAATTACTTGTGCAAGTTTGTACATTTGTGCACATGGCCTGAGACAGAAAAAAATTTCACGTAGTACAGTATTTTCTCAAAATTATAGTTTCATCATGTTGGTACAAAACAAGCAAAAATAATTCCTCAGGGGACGCCTGGGTGGCTCAGTCGTTAAGCATCTGCCTTCAACTCAGGTCATGATCCCAGGGTCCTGGGATCGAGCCCCACATCGGGCTCCCTGCTCCACGGGAGGCCTGCTTCTCCTCCCCCTCCCACTCCCCCTGCTTGTGTTCCCTCTCCTGCTGTGTCTCTGTTAAATAAATAAATAAAATCTTCAAAAAACAATAATAATTCCTCAGTTGCAGTGAGGAGGAAAAAAAAATAAAGATCATAATCTTAAGTGGAAATCATCTCAAACCATCTCGGAAATCACTCATTCATTCATTCATCCATCCATCCATCCACCCACCCACCCGCTTATTTACTCATTCCATCATTCTCTAAGCTGCTCCTATTACAATTGGGCATTGAGCAAGGTCTTAAAATATAGATATGAATATGCTCACGGTCTCCTATGGGGGTGGGTAGAGACACGGTGCAGGACCCCGGGATGGCCTCACGCCCAAAGGCACAGGTTAGAGCAGTAGCCAAGGACTAAGACGTTCAGGCTAGAGGAGCTGGCTTGCTCTCAAGTTTCTGGTTTGGGTCACTAAGTGCTAACATGAACTGAAAGGAATAAGTTGAATTCAAGGTATCTATGTAACAACCAGGTCGGGGGAGGAAAAAAAGACTAGATAAATGGGAAAGACATCTGGTGTGGGTCAGACGGGAGCGTGACCGGCGTAGAGTGGTAGTCGGTGGTTACAGCCACAGTGTGGAAGAACATACCCAGGAAGGGTGAGGAGGGGAAAGGGCTCGGGGTGGAGCCCTTGGTGACAGGAGCACCGAGGGGCAAGAGAGGAGGGCTGTGAAAGCCATCTATCCATGTGTTTGGTCAAGACCTGGCTGAAGGAAAAAAAAAAAAAAATCCAAATGATTATGTCAAAGGAGGCAGGGTGAAATTAAACATGGAGCCAGAAGGCCACTGAGCCCTGGTCAATGAGCTGTACACTCACTGAGCGTGCCTGTGTGCAACCAGAAGCGTGCTGGAGATCGTTACTTTCCAGGATTCTTCCATCCATCCTCCCTCCCCCCCTCCAACCACCTACCCCTGAAGCAAGGCTGCCCACCTGCACACACAGCAGAGACACAAACAGGTTTCTCAACTTGCGTGTACTGAGGATCCCTTTCCAAATGAGGTCTGCATTCAAGTTTGGATTTCATGAGCTTGCTGGGCTTCACGAAAGGATGAAGACAAGTGAGGGATAACTAAAACATGGCTTTGCTACAGCCCAGCAGTGTCTCCAAGGGCTTCCCAAAACTTCCAGGTTAGGCACCGACTGCCCTGACCTTTCTCCCTTCCACTCACCTCCATGGCCGGGCATCAAGGATTCCTTGTTAGCACAGCCGTTACCTAGGCTACAGCTCTTTTGTCTCTGCCAGCACACTGCACCCCACCACCCATCATTAGACCTGTCTGATGACCTGCTCAACTCAAGGAATGCCGCGGTAGATGCAGGTTTTTACACATGGATAAAAATCTGGCCGCACCTTTGTAGAGTTTATGGTACAATATGAAGAATTTAAGGCCCGCTGGTGCGCACACACTGCATAGAAGCTGAGGATCATGGGTGAAAACCAGATCCTTGTCAGCCAGGTGAAGGGGCTCTCACACCTGAGAGGGAATGAGGAACCCCGCAGAAGAAATGAGGACAGGGAACAGCGGGAGAGGAGCGTACTTTCCTGTCTCACTGCTACCCCCCATCCCAGCTCTCTGGCCCTCCCCCCACCCCATGACAAAGACTTCCAACCAGCAATTCTCCCCAAACACACTTGTGGGGGCGGGTTATCAGTTGGTACCCACGGATGGTGGATAGCGTTAAAAGAAGTGCTAAGTCTACAGGCCAGTCCTGAGTGCTGGCAAAAGGAGATGCTGGATCATCTGGTCTGCCAGGCATAGCCAATTGGGGGAGGGTAGCAGTCTTCCCACCCTAGGCTGGCACTGGTCACCAAGTTGGGGAAGATTAACAAGGGACTGTCTAGGATGGAAACCCATGTACAGCTGGTAACAGAGCAAAACGTAAGAATTCTGGTAAGAAACGGTCTCTCTATCTCATAGCACTTGGGATTCTCAAAAATCCTGGGCAGTGTCCTGGACTTGCCACCAACTTGATAGGGGGCTCCACTGCATTGTGTCTGGATTCTAAGGAGTAAGATAAGCCCAGCTCACACCGGTTCCCTGAGGTTTATATTAACATTGGGTGAATGTTCTTTGTTCTTACACTGGGCAGACCTACTTTTCAAAAGCACACATTTTGAAGTCAGAGAACATTTATATGAATAAATGAATAAAAATACACTTCACTGAAGGAACAAGTAGAATTTTTTTTATGGAAACTGATTTATTCACTTGGTAAGCATGAGCGCCTGTTCTAAGATCTAGGGATACAGCAATACAGACAGACAAAACGCCCCTCGCTCACCCTGCCCCACCCAGCTTCTGGTGTTCATCAAAGTGCTCTGTATACCAAGGCTCTCAACTACATGGGGACACAAATTGGGGGCCTGGAGGACAAAGGGTAATATATAACATATACTTTAAAATTTTGTACACATATCTTTCCACTAAATAAATTCTCATGTAGGAATCAAACCTAAGAAAATAAGCACAGATATGTGCACAAAGCAAACCAAAGAACAGCTAAAAGGACAGTCACCAAAGCATTTTTTAATCGGGAAAAAAAAAAAAAATGCAAAAGTCCCTCAAAAGTAGACAGTTACATGTTCACAGCAATTCTGTGCAATGAGCTACAGCACTGTCATTAAAAATGTGTGAGATTCTGGGGCACCTGGGTGGCTCAGTAGGTGAAGCATCTGCCTTCAGCTCAGGTCATAATCCCAGGTTCTGGGATCGAGCCCTGCGCCAGGCTCCCTGCTTAGTGGGGAGTCTGCTTCTCCCTCTGCCCCTCCCGCTGCTCATGCTCGTGCACACTTTCTCAAAGAAATAAAGTAAAAAGTGTGAGATTCTGTAAGGACCTTCATTCGTTCCACAAGTGTTTACTAAGTACCGACCATGTGCCAGACACATTATCTGGGGGTACAGAGATGAACAAGACAGAGTTCCTGCCTCAAGGAACCTGCAGAAAGAATATAAATATATATTGCAAACAGGAATTTCTGATGGTGTAAGTGCTTTGATGACACCTCAATAAAAGCAACTAAGCAGAGGGAGAGAGGGAGGATATTTATGACTGGTGGTCAGGGAAAGGCCTCTTTGGAGAGGAGACACCTGAGCTAAACCCAAAGGAGACAAGAGGGTGATGATGGGGATAGAGATACTCATGCAGGGGTGACAGCAAGTCCCAAGGCCTCGGGGAGCAGGTCTGGCATTGCAAGGAGAGGCGAGAACAGAGTGGTACCGTGGGGCCAGGGACCCAAGAGGCCAGCCTCTATAGAAAGTGGGCATTATTCCAACCATCTCTGGAAAGTTTTACTCAGGGGACTGATAACATTTGACGTGGAGCTTTTAGAAGACCACCTTGGTTGCTGTGCAAGATCAGACTACAGGGGAATAAGAACAGAAACAGACAATTAGAGATCTGGCAAGAGATGGTAGGGGCTTCACATAGGATTGAGATGGAGAGGAGACCACGTTCAAAGTAAACAACTTGGTTTATTTAAAAAAAAAAAGTTTCAAAAATGGGTTACACAATTGAGTTAGAGATAATCAAGGTGGTGAATAAGCTATAACCCTTTCCCAATTGGACTACATTTCCCAGCATTCCTCATAGTGAGGTGGTCATGTGACTAGGTCCTGGCCAGTAGAATGTGCACTGAAATGATGTATGCATCTTCCAGACCTGGCCCATAAGACACTCCTACTCATCCTCCCTCCATTCTCTTCTCCCGGCTCAGCAGAGAAAATCCTGAAGGCCAAGAAGGGAAAACCTCTGTGAAGGGAGCGTAGAGGGACAGAATATCTCCCCCTCATCTTGCCCCCTCCACCATCACCCACCCACCTTGCCAGGACAGTGAGCTGGAAATAGACTTGTACTGTTTCTTCCCACTGTAAATCAAAGGTTGCTTTAGCAGTTGGCCTTTGCTCATATACAATATAGTCTCAATTTTCAATATCTATCAATTATGTATAGGCACAGAAAAAGACAACAAAAGGATTATAGTAGCAGTGATTACCTCTGGATAATGGGTAACTTTCTGGTCTACATTTTTTTCTTTTTGAAACATTACGTATTTTTCTTTGGAAATTAAATTTTTGTAGAAACGTGGGAAAAATACATAAGGAACAAAAGAAAAATTTAAAATCACA